AACGAAACAAACTTATGTTTTCCTTATTGCCAACCCAATCTAATTAACCGAATATCAATAAGATTCTCCGCCTAATAAAACCGCTGCTTAAGGTAGCGGCCTCGAAAAAAGAGGCGCACTCTCAGCCTTCTTAGCCTATACTTCCAGTGCCAAAATGCTTGGTTGGAAACGGGTATTTGTAGGTGATGCGACCTATGGTATCAACGTGATTGCACGTATGTTATGTCAACATAGGCAATCTCAGCCACATAATGAAAAAGGAGACAATATTCGGTTAGGTATCTGTGTATGCCAAAATGATAATCCCACTAGCCACAGAGAGGGAGACAATATTAGTCCAAATAATCATTATGTAGTTTTACGAACTAACTTACTTAACCGAAACAAAGGTGCCGGAGAGGAGAATAAAACTAGAATGTGCACCTTGCAAGCAAGGCAGATCAAGTGTAAATCCTTCACGGTGTGAGTAGACCAAAGGAAAGATCAAGCATATTTAACTATCCAGCAAGCTAATTTAACCAGAGTAGACTAGAGTACGTGAAGCAACAAACCACCAAAGGAGTGTTTATCTTGAATAAGCTGCCAAACGCTGATCACTGTTTATGTAGTTGGACAGGCAGCTGCAACTCTAGTCTGGCCGCGTTTTTATCAGAAAATAGAAGAAAGCACATGTGGTGTCCGAATCAAGCATAATAGGAGAGGCCGAATCATGAATAACCTTAATGTTGCTGCTATTTGAGTCTCACATCTGGTTGCACGTAGCCTGAAAGATTTATACTGGACTAAATAAGCTCTATCAGACATCGGAAATTATTTGTCATATTTGAGGCTAACATAGAGCGATGAACTTGAGTTAAGCAAACCCATGCTATTGAAATATCCGGGGCCTGAAAGAAGGTCTATCTGGGGACAATTTGATGAATATTGCCCAACGTATACCAATTTCAGAAGAGTAGTAGGGGGATTTGAATGGTATAGGTAGAAATTCGTCACATCTAGACTCATTCAAACAGCTGCCACACGCCCAGAAAAGCACTGTATGCGTGTTTCATTCTCTCGGGAATCATCAGCAGTGCGCATTCCATCGGAACCTTGGTAGGGCTCCAACTCGCAACTCGACCGTTGCCAGTCCGTCCTTGCGACCACTGAGCTACAGGGAACGGCAACGACCATGGTAAATAAGTTACCAGAGAGTGAGCGGCGCTATATCATATCTGGTAACTTATTCATGATGGTGGTTTCTGTCCCCCGTAGCTCTGTGGCCTTAACCACGGACTGGCAACAGTCGAGTTGCGAGTTCGAGCCCTACCAATGGTCCGATGGAATGCGCACTGCGGATGATTCCCGAGAGGATGAAACACGCGTACAGTGCTTTTCTGGGCGTGTGGCAGCTGTCTGAGTGAGTTTAAACGTGCCGAATTTCTACCTGTATCATTCAACTCCCCCTACTACTGTTCTGTAACCAGTATGCAGACCAAACTGCTTATAATGCCATGAGTTAATTAGCGGCTTAAGTTTGGTAAGCTCGTCTCATGGTGAGGGGGCTACCCTGTCTTCTGCACGGCAGTAACGTGTAAGTCAGTGGGTAGTGAGCGGCGCTAAATCACATCTGGTAACTTATTCACGATGGTCTTTGTCGTCCCTCGTAGCTCAGTGGTCGCAACGCCGGACTCGCAACGGTCGAGTTGCAGATTAGAACCCTACCAATGGTCCGATGGAATGCGCACTGTTGATGATTCCCGAAAGGATGAAACGTGCGTACATTGCTTTTCCGTGCGTGTGGCGGCTGTCTGCTTGAGTCTAGATGTGACGAATTTCCACGTATACCAATTTAATGGCAATCAGCTCTAATTGTGCTAAAAAAATTAATTGAACTATGAAACAATGGTATATTTAGGGCCAAAAGCAGCTGGTTTGGAAGTCTCGTAAGATGGACATAATTAGAAACCGTATGTTGAATGGAAAAAGAAAGGGGGACGGGAACATCGTATTTCAGTGTTCACTACACTGTTCAAATAGATGCATGAAGTAGGAGCCGACCTTTTCTCCAGGTTAGTTCTGGTTGCACAAATCTCGTCGCATCATGTCTGCTGTCGAGACGCATCCGTTATACTTCGTATCGTAGGCGGATTATTGTAACATCAAGGCGTTTTTCAGACAGGTAAAGTGAGGACGGAAACAACGTAGTTTGGGTGGGAGTTTTAAGGCTTGCATACACGAACAGACTAAAAGTTCCGACGACATTCTAGCCGACTGTACTGCGTGGGTATCTAAGTTTAATTTGCAGCACAGACGTTTGTTATTCTATGTTCATAATCTTTGTCGTAATGTGTGCCATGTTGCTGATCTATTGAAATCTATGTAGGTCAGCTTTCAGTACCATATCATAATCCGTAGTCATCTTCCGTCTAGGAATTAGGGGTATCAATATCCTTTTGCTCAAATACGTTGGATTGGTTTAATTTCTTCGCGCAATCATTTTAAGCCATACATATATCAGTGGAAAGCCAGGATACAAAATGCATACAAGCGCAAGCAATCGTATCTTATCAAAATGCCCTACAAACATAAAAACAGAACAATAACATTTAAGCCACGATCAATAATTAAAGAACCGTAAACGCAGATAAGCTTGATAGAAGACGCACTTAGCGGTGGTGTAAGGTAGAATATGGAAAGCAGGTCAAGTCAGGTTATTAAATGCGTGGTGTAAATGTAGCTATGCGATATTAAGTAATAAGAATCAAACCTCTGGCTAAACAAATTATAAATTGGACCCGTAATTTAAAACAAGTTACTTTTATTCATATTTGGTTAGGCCAACATGGGAGTACTCTATCCTTTTCCACCAGTTGATGTTCCGAAAAATGAGCTTGCATTACACTGAACATTCGATATGTTTCGCGCAATTTATCAAACTCAAATCTTAAGCATTCTATAGTATGCAGGTTTTCCCACCAGTAATTTATGTAGCTTAAGCTAAGGTTTTGCATGAACCTAGGGTACACTTAATTCCATCAGGATTTCTGAGGCTTACATTTGTTTAATCTGATAAGATGCGAACCAATTAGATTCCAGTTTGGCGTAATAAATAGGTCAGCGGACAACAATACATTATTCCAAATGCAACCAATCAATTTATTGCAACTTCCATACTTTAATCTAACAGAACAACCGTTAAATATTCCAATTACAGCTGCCGTAATCTCCGGTCCTATCCCAGAAAAGTTCTGTCAGGAGGTAAGATCAAAATGGCTTATTTGCTGTTAACGCTGGAATACTGATTTATAATTAATTTGAATGAATACTATCATAAATAAATAAGTAAATTGCCGGTCCTTAAATTTATCGAGGCACACCAACTAACGCAAGATCACAATTTACAGGCAGATATGTTTCGCAACGGACATGTTGCTATGTAGGTAATTAGCTGTATTTGTGTTGTTACACTTTCTGCTCTCTGCCACTGGCAAATGTTGTACTGCTGCTTTGTAACACTGTGAGACTGCAACCCTCTGAATGCTCAGTCACTCGCCCAGCCAACCGAACGAATACAGAAGACCAGAAGTAGGTAGACAGAGTATGCTCTACAGGATTGGTTAGCGCCATTTATTGCTAACCGGAACACGCTAATAAGTAGGTCAAGGTTACGTACTATTCCACGTCCGGTTTTCAGCCAGGGTGCATGAGTTCCGCTGTACGAGTGCATCATAATGACCGATTATTTCGATTCCTTTGACGCGGGCTGATTAATGCTGGTCGATCTATTTTCATACGATTCCCAAATTCAGCTGAATGATCAAAGCTTGTGGCACGCCGTGCTGATGACGATTGCATGTAGCGGACAACCTACCTGCTCTGCTTACGCCTCTATTTGGCCGAAAGTTGAATAGGCTGCAGAAATGTAAGGATACTCGTGAGCATACATAGTTGTTAGTGAATGAAAAACACTTTGGTTCATGTGGGCATAGCGTGAAATGTAAAAGCACTATAATTGTACTGGAGACGGTAGGTGTAGACAGAGAATATCTTAGGGCTAAGTCAACTATTCGCGTTAGCCTCTTCAACCCAAGCATTAATTAAGAAAAAGGTGCTGTATTAATAATCAGCTTGTTAGCTAACTGAAAGACAACAGTTAAGAGTCTTGAAACTACATAAATACCTAAATACTCTAGGGTATTCAACATCAGCAGCCCTTCATCTATAACACCGTTGGGTAAAATTTCGCCATATCTCGGGTTTAATTTCTTTTAATCATTCAAGGTGGGGAAGCAAACAGGATACGTGACTCAGTCTTGTACTTCAATGGGCAAGTCGCAAAAGTCATCCACCCATATAAGGAACGGCGTTATCCATCTGAGAAGACAGACATCATTTTATCCGTTTGACCTTCCTGGGTACATGATTGAACTTGCAGAATTGGTAAACCGTATGAATCAACAGCATGGGAAGTGCGAATTCAATGGATACATCCAACTGACTCGTGGTGAGTTTGGAGCAAATCGGGTAACAAGTTATCTTTGAGCGTATGTTTTAATTGGTGCATTTTGTCAGTCGTTAATCAAAATATGCTACCTAACTGGTATACTGCGTGTAACTTTAAGGATCCGTAATTGTTATGGATCGGCTGATACGGCATTTGAGCTAAAAATCTAAGTGTTCGTTTCTAATTAGTGCAATTTGAAACCATTATTCCTCCTAAACCCAAAAAGCGATGTATGCATTTTCTGGATGCAATTCGTTAACCGCGTAACATCACGAGTAGATGAGATTCGTTCGCAAAGTCGGACAATTTCATAGACTGTGTACATTAGTAGGCAGGTAAATTTCACTTTCGTTTAATGGTTCACTTAATTCTTACGGCTGCAACCATCAGCTTCCTCCGGTGCGTAATGAATGATAACGAAACCTGTGTGGTTTGCAATGGTTTCTGGACGAATATCCTGTCCTTTTTTCAAGAACAAAGTAATTCTAATTATACCCAACTGATTTTATGTTGTAAATTAGCTTTATAAACAATATTGTGCTTTAGGGTTCTGGAGTTTAAGTGGATATTGTTACTGTATTCTCCATATATAGAAGTAGGAAAAGAAAAACCTCACCATCTGCCTTGTCCCAGGGAGCATATGGTTGCATTAAGAATTATATTAAGTAACTCATCACCTTTCCTACGTCATTTATTAACCCCATATCTTACTTTCATTCTAGATCATCCAATTAAAAAGACAAACATCCATACCCCGCAGCAGCGCCAGGTTTAGCACCAAAAACGCTTTTCCTGGCTGACCAAATGAATTTTCCTGGGAGGATCCATTTTTGATAACAGCAACTATTATGCATAAGAAACTTATCCCCTTCGTACCCGAATTTCTCTCCTCACAACATGGGCGTAATCTTCTAATCTAGTGAATCCTTGTGCACTGAGCAGATATTTTTCCTATTCTGCTGACTATAAATTTCGGTGCCAAAATACAACGATTTAGTACGTGTAGGCTCTGGGAGTTACCCCCTTGCACCGATTGTGACATGCGCCCTTGATTGTTACCGCGCTACTGTCGACTACAGCTGATGGAGCTGTCGTGATTAACACTGAAAGTAATAGTACGACGTTCATCCACATATTATTGTGCTTCCTTTAAGACAAAAGTTGAGTCAGCTTGACTGGTACGGCCAGTAAATATTAACCACCCTTAGAGCGCGAAAGCGGTTACCAAACTCACGCAGCACTAACTCATTAAGTGTTGATAAGTTGAATAGAAATATTTCTCAATTAGGACGCTAGCGATAAATTAATTAGTTCACGAGCCGCGTGTAAGATAATAAACAACAATAGAAGTGGAATATGGCTGATTAACTTAAGACCCAATAAAATCAACAATACCCATATAAATGTGTTTACAGTGGTTCACGAAGTAGCTGGTGACTACGGCGGATAGATATCTTGACAAGGATTTGTCGGGGGAGTTGATCCTAGGTGGATCCTAGTATTAGATTTGGATAACATATCTATGCATATAATGTTGCAGCTATATCGCAAGTTTTATTTGAATTTCATTTCACAAGGCGTGTGTAATATCGGTATTCCATTACCAGCGTGTAGAGGTACAACAACTCGCAAATGAAATTTTATGTGTAAATTCGGAGCAAATGTCAGGCAAATGCGTAAATTGAAGTATATTATGAAATTTGTGAATGCTGGTTCACCTTTATGCTAAAGGATTCAGCGATGCAAGTAGATGCCAAAATATACCAACTACAAAAATATAGCACAAAAATATGTTTACTTTTTTCCTGGCTAAGCTCTTAAAGAATTCCTGAAAAGTTAAACAACTAACTAAGCAGGATATTACTAGACAAAATTAGTAGTGATCAATGATATATGTGAAGAAATTAGGAAATGGAGCAGCACAATTCACATAACGGTTTCATTATTTCAAAATCATACTCATATAGCTGCTCTATATTACCAATCCGTATAATACAATATAAAGATGCGCTGTTAAAAATAATAATAAGATATTTACGCTACTCACAAGCCTTTGACCTTTGCACTCAAGGCCGAGCACATTAGATATGCTTCACGGGTATTGCGTCATCTGGACTTCATATCCCCTTGCATAGGACATACGTCACATTGTGTTGTAACAGCATACTTTCTGACAACTTATTGTAAGCAGAATTCGATTTACTCAAGCATATGAAATTCGGGTGTTGGCCGCCCGAAAACACCGCTCACTACCATGCCACATTTGATTTAGTGCAAATAACCCAGCGTCCGATTGCTGTACTACGGACGCCGGATCTATTTACCAGGTTCTGCTTCTTGCACATATAAGCATTTCTATTTGTTACCATAGACTCTGATGTTTCCACGTCACAACTAAGACCAGTAGTCCCTACTTCACTGACGAGACATATTTTAGACACCACCTATACCGTCATGCATCCTCGCATCCGCGTTACCGTTTGACTATGGCTAACTATGTATGGAGATATTCAATGCTGGGCAAAGACATGCATCGCTTCTCAGATTCCAAAGATCATACGGCATATACCCCCTGCTACAAGCTTATTAGTAGATTCTGAGAAAATGTCAGATCACCTACATCTCGACGTGGTCGTCCTGCTCTCATATTCCATAGATAACTCACACATTCTTACCCTCAGCATTTCCGGTCACCGTGTGCACTTTTTGCAGATGATTTGAAAAGCTAGAGGATCATTGAGAGCCAGGACGACTGCGTTCACCTCCAGCATAACTTAGACCGACTGTCAACATGGTCCATTCAAATGCAACTCCCTCAGAACACAAGCGAATCGGTGTTTGTCAGAATCACTAGAATCCTAACCACTGGATCATACACTTTGAACGGCCAGTCGCTCCACCTTAACACATCTGTCAGAGACTTCGGAGTGTACGCGTGGCATGATCTGAAAGCACTAGCAAATCCGCAGAAATATTACCTTGCGGGACTTCGTATGCCTTGAACATCGCGACGCAGTTTCTACACATGATCCGAAGAAAACTTCCCTCGCCTATTCACCTTTCTCATTAGACCAATCCTGGAACAAGCGCCCCAGCTCAACATCCGATAACACAGTGGGAAACCGAAAAGCCGGAGAAAATACAGCATACCGCAACTACAATAATACCGAGTCAACGAAAGCTTCCGTAAGAAAAAGGTTGTGAAAGGCTTGGATTCTACCCATTAACCTACCGCCGTGTAAGAATTGACCTTAATATGACCCCTCGAGTATTACACTTGCATCACTTCCTTATTCAGCGGCCTATATTACCTGCGGGAACCCTGTAATACCTTAGGAGACCGTTACAAACTCAGAGTCGCCTGCATGAACAATATATCACATTAGCTTTGTATGGGACGAAGAATCGCAAACTTGCGGAATGCACTACCAGATGAACTAATTAAAGCACATAATGTGAAGTGTTTTGAAACATGAAATGACCATTCTTTCGGAAACCTCGCTTTGTGAAACGGTGAAACCACAATGCAATCAATGTATCTTATACCCGGAAATAATGACATATACACGAATTTTGCTTTCTTATGTTACGGTAGAGTTATAGAGAAACATTTCTACTTGCTCCTAAATACACTTTCAGCTTAACAGGTTGGCCTGAAACCATCCTCATTTCCGACACTCCAACAAAAACAATAGCCTTCGCCTATAGTAGTTGTTGGAGTTTTGCATTTGGGCTTCTATATATACCACCCCAGATCGTGATCCAAAGTAAAGTCAGAGCTAATCTATTTACTGGGAATCAAACGTATTCGCACAACTACATATCATTTTTAAGAAACGGTCTAGTTGAACCTTTTCACAGACCTCTGAAAACTTGCTTCTGAGCATCCCACTACCCTACCGATTGGCCCGATCAACTTGTTATAAAACTGTTGCAGTCGCGTAAATTATTCCGGAATATCTTACATAGTTCGTTATTGAAACTAGAATTTGGCGTTGTACTACGAATACCGGGTCAGTGTTTCTCTCCAGAATATTTATCTAACCAGTTATCTATGTCAATAATCTATGCAATCAATTAAACTCAACTTAGCTGACAACTGCATGCTGTACATTCAAACCAACCTAGTGTCTTCAAATTTACACAATTGCACTCATGTATTTGTGCATTGGGATGGCATTTGATCCCAAGTTCGACCAACATATGTTAGTCACTTTCTGATTTTTGGTGTAACGACAAAAATACAGTTATCGCACATAGCTGATATATTTAGCACTGGAAGTCCCAAGTCCGGAAACAAAACCGTCTGTAGAGAAGGAAATCAACTAGACAAAGTAATCGTAGCAATGTTCACCGAATCAGGACTTAAATACGAAATCTGTAAAGATAACCTTAGCCTTAACGCAATCAGGATCGCACTGTTGCAGGTATAATCAAGCGCATTTGAACAGGGTTCATCAAAAAAGGGTGAACAAATGCAAGTGCCAGAAGATTAATTATAATTTCTCACCCGGAAGACAGTTTATATCACAAATGTCATTAACTTGGTTATCACCCCTGTTAAAATGGACAACTCAGAAAAAAAGGATCACTGAACCTAAGGACGATCATAGTTCTACCATGTTCCATAAAATCGTGCAAGACAACGGCTTGGTTAATCAGTGGAATTGTCTCGCATAAGCTAATGCTATTATTGATAACTAAAGAAGAGAAAAGCACAGAGAGCAACTAAATATCGGTACTCTGGGCTCTGTGAGCATACTGTGTCTGGCGCCCATTACACCAAACCTACGATCTTGCTTTTTATCGGCCATTAGAGGACGAGCAGCTTTTAGCGAATGACTAATCGGAGCGACCAGGGCGACCTTGGGGAAATAACAGCTGGCGACAGAGCTGGTAGTTTGATTGGATACGGCGAATATACTAAGAACACATCTGCTTTTCAGTGAAGCAGCTCACCGCAATACTTCAAACTCAACAGAAGCAAATTGAAGAAAGCCATATGCGATTGCTCGAGAAGATCGTTCAGTGTTTTAGAGTTCAAGGAAGACAAAACAGTAAAAAGCAGCAATCATCAGCGGCTGCCGTCGCGAACAACATTTGCTGGTTTCAATATGACCCTGATACCGGCCTAACCTTCGAATGTTGATTCAAGGGATACCAAGACATTTGCCGGTCCGAATTCGCTGAACCTGACAACGGCATGGAAGTGCACGCTACTTTTGAAGAGGCTGGGAACCAAGGAGCATGAGATGATTCTCAATTGCATTTTGCTAAAATGCCCCCAAATATGTCACCTATGACCACTGTGTACCTCTGTTTAGTAACATTTTTTGGTAAACAGTCTTCGTTATTCAGGTTCTAAAGCCACTGCATGAAGTTTGTTACGTATGCGACAGACGATGTCGTAAATAAAACGAGTACCGCTAATTGCCATTGTGAATGTTTTCTAGTAAGGTTATGACAGACAATCAGTTCAGGGCTTCATTATTCGAATATGGTCTCCAAGCATTCGAGAGCGCCGAAATACGCATGAAGGTGATTAACAAAACTGAACAGGACCCGTGCACCAAACTCATGTTCAGTACATCTGTTTGCCCGAAATTAAATAGCTTGACGCACGACACAAACATGATTGCTCAAGACCGCAGTCCATATCCGGCCGAAGTGTTTGTAATATCAAACCAGAGCCGAACTCCAACGACGGTTGAAACTCAGTGAAGTCAACTAGACTAACATCAGCATGCTGGCAATGTGGTTAATGGCGCTTCGACA